AGGACGAGAGCTATGACTATCACCAGGAGATTGCGAGGTGGGCCTTGCGCCGCGGCGGCTTTGCTCGCTCGCGAAGAAAAGCGAAAAGCGGCTGCGTTTGGTGACGGGTTTCGTGATTTATCTCAGTGGAAGCCTCCAGGCTTGCCCAGTATGGTTACGATGAATATCGTGCAGGGGAGATGTCTAAACGTACTTTTTTTTTTTTTTCTGTAAATATTCTGTAAGTCATTTTCTTCTAAATGTCCCTCAATGTTTTTTTAGGTGTTCATTATCATACTGACAGTCACTGAATCGTGGCCAAGTCTTCTTGAAGCTCTAGTTCAATAAATAATTGATGGCGGTATATACCTTTGGTAACTTGTTAAGGGCTTAATGCAATGGCCAGGGAAGGTTACATTTTTAGTGCATTTTTCAGCAGTGTGACACACAGAAATGGGGACCAGAGAAATGTGAAAAATCATTATTTGAGTCTTAGCAACAAGGTTACCAATAAATGAAAATGGCTCAAGTCATTACTGATTTAGTTAGAGGATCTAAATTGCAGTGTATCTCAGTTTGCCACTAACATTGACTTTTAGTGCAGGAGATCTTAGAAGCAGATACTTGACAGATACTAGATTGTCCTTCATTGCCGTCCTTACATGTTAACCTGCTATTGACTAACCTGCTGTTAACCTATCCCAGTTCACAGCGGTTTGTCCATAGGGCCACGTATAGGGTCCATTGCTAAAAAGAGAATATGTAGCAGCATAGCTAGAATAGTCTAAAGAGAGAATATGTAGGAGCAATTCACTCATTCATGCATATGCTGATGATTAGACCATTGACATAACATCATTCCTTAAATCTGGGAAGGAGCAACCAGAGCACGTCATCTCCTGCCTTAGATCTGCTGCCTTAGATAACCTTTCTTTTACTGAGACCTAGCAGCTTTGTGCTATGCTTTGCAGTAGGTAGTATTTTGATTGGAATTCTGTTTATTTTAGGTCACGCTATGCAGATATGCTCCATGATAAAGACAGAGTAAGTATAGAAGCAAATACTTTTTAAAGGGTGAGAAAATGTTTATTTCCTCCCTTTTGAATAGCTGTCAGTGCATGAAGTGTTAAGATTTGTGCCCTTTATGAGACCAGTCCTGCTGTTGTATTAACAGATGCCTTCTTATATTTTGAAAGATCAGGAATTATTTGCAAATGTTTGGTAAATTGTTTGGAAAGGAATTACTAATATAAATTGTTACATATGGAGCGAATGTAACTATATATTTTGGTATGTTGTAACTGGCGGCAGCATTTGATTTCTCTCCTGTTATTAATGTTGATGTGCATGTACCTCCACTCAACAGCACATAACCGTCATCCAATATCTAGTCTCATATATTGTTTCCCATACATGAATGTTTTCCAGTAGAGATAGAAATGAATCTAAATTCAAGATACTTCAGTTTTTTACTGTCGCAGGGACTGTATCATTATGCAAGTGAAAAGTGGTTGAAGTAATCCAGAAAAGTAGTAGTATCTCAGATGGATCTGCTTATTATTTGTTCCAGAAAATTCCTGTATTTTTAAATTGTGCATGCAGTGTAAACAGCAGACTGATGAATGCCTTGGTGAATAGTGCAGTAAAGACTGATCTGTTTTAAATGGACTAATGTACTGTTCACTTCTGCTGTATCACTAAAGAAAACTTCCTCGAGAAATGCTTGCTTTTGCTGAAAATGGATCTGACTTCAGAAACGTAAAAACTGTCTTTAGGCCTTTTTCTAATTTTAAACTCCTATAGTCTGAGAATGCAAGATTCTTGCACAAAAATTAAGTGTATATACATATATATGTTAATTTTGCAAACTAAATATATAAACATATGAAAGGTGGCTTATAGTTCATCTTCCTTTGACAGAATGTGAAATATTACCAAGGTATCCGTGCTGCAGTGAGCAGAGTAAAAGAAAGAGGTGAGAAAGCAATTGTTTTAGACATAGGGACTGGCACAGGACTCCTGTCTATGATGGCAGCTTCGGCAGGTGCAGATTTCTGTTACGCTGTTGAGGTAAGCATCTGTTACTGACTGCACACACTTCTGCTTTCCAAAATAGGAAGTGCTGAGGTGTTGGGTAGAATGTATGTCCGTAATCTACTTTTTAGAAGGCTTGTGCAGTTGTTCCATCTGCATCATCAGTGGTATAGATTCATTTGCTTATTTATGTTGTAGTTTCTGAAGTGCAAGTTTGATATACTTATGATCAGTCACAAATTTTTTAATGTAAATGCTAAGAACTTCTTAACATAAATTATACTTTGAAAATTTAAATTGGGACAGCTTTTGGAGGCAGCTCTTAGTTCAGTTTTTAAGAATGACATTGCAATTTTATGAATTTCTGAAATTCTGAAGTGAGGTTACTGTCCGGATTCATGGTAATGAACCTAAAATAGGAAAATGTGCAAAATGTGTTAATTTTTGCAGGGCTAAATATGCTGTGGTTTGGGTTGCTTTTTATTTCGAATGCTGATGTTAGCTTATCGGTGTGTTATACTCTTACTGTTTTCAAGGTTTTCAAGCCCATGGCTAATGCTGCTGTGAAGATAGTGGAGAAAAATGGTTTTAGTGACAAGATCAAGGTAATCAACAAGCACTCCACTGAAGTTACAGTTGGGCCAGGTAAGGATAATAAACCTAAGTTAAAAAATAATGTGAAGTCAAGAAATGTGATTTTTGTTTCCAGTTAATTTTAATTAAGCAAATCTTTTCTCCAGAAAGCGATATTAAAAGGTTATTTCAAAAAGAAGTGTTTGTAATAGTATTCCAGTAGTCATTTGAATTTCATGATAAACTTTTAAAGGAAAATACTGAATTTGCATTATTCTCTTACGAGAAATGAGTTTTTGAATGACTTGTCTTTACAGCATGGCTTGGTCTTGAAAGAGCTAGAGAGAGCTTTATGCTCTTTTGAGAGAGAGTATAAAGTGGCAGTATGATGTTAAATTGTGTCTTTTAGATGGAGACATGCAATGTCGTGCAAACATCCTGGTAACAGAATTATTTGATACCGAGCTGATAGGAGAAGGAGCTCTACCAACCTACGAGCACGCACATAAGCATCTTGTACAGGTAAGAAGGTAGAAATTGACAAAGTGCCAGGCCAGTCCTTAAGGAAACTCCTTTATCCTTGGTGGAATAAGATGAAGATTACTTAGATTTCTGTATCCTTTGTAAATAGGCCGCTAGCTGTGCTATTTTCTTATCTGTACTAAATTCTTATTATAATTTTACACAAAAATTTTGGATCTTATTTTACCAGTTGTATACAGAGGATATTACTCTCATTACTGCTCCCTATATATAGACATATAAACATTATAGACAATGGTTTTTTTTTTCATAACAAGTTACATGTTCTCTAGTCTTTAAACAAGGATAGAAAGTTGTCATTGTCATTGAACAAACATTCAAGTCATTATTTACTCATTGCTTATGTCAAACTGTGTTGATAGCTTAGCAGTCATCTTTGAATAGCTCTCATCTCAGAATGAGTGCAGGAACATGCATTTAACTGAAGCTGGGAAACAGATTGATACTGTGGCCTTGCTAACCTACACTGAACAGATAGATAAGTGTGTCAAATTTCACAAATAAAAAGACAAAGGACAGATGTTCTAATATTACAGAAGTCTCTGAAATAATCAGAATTTAAAAATTCAAAGCTTCTAGTCCAACTACTTTGTCTCTATAAATTGGTTCACATTTCATTTAAATTATTGTTCCCATGTGTTCGTAAGTCAACCATATTGAATGCATTTATCTTTTATTTTGAACACTCACAGGAAGGATGTGAGGCAGTGCCTCATAGGGCAACAGTCTATGTCCAGCTAGTGGAATCCAAACGAATGTGGTCCTGGAACAAGCTATTTCCTGTTCATGTTGAAGCAGAGGATGGTGAAAAAATTATTGTCTCTCCGTCAGAAATGGAGAACTGTCCAGGTGTTCCTTCAGTTTGTGATATCCAATTGAATCAGATGCCTTCAAGCGACTTCACTATCCTTAGTGATGTTGTGACAATGTTCAGGTGAGAGAATAGTTAGGCATTGTTTTGTTTTGCACAAAATCTTCCTGTTATGTCTTTTAAATACAAGTTGTGTATTCAGCTTAGGAAATTGATGAAAGTTTTGGAAGAATACTGAATTATTTATTCTCCAATGTTTTCTTCACTGCAGTGTGGATTTCAGTAAGCCAGTAAGGAGTGCTTCTACATGCTACAGAGTGCAGCTGGAAACTATAAAGTCTGGCAAGGCACAAATTGTACTTTCCTGGTGGGATATTGACATGGATCCCTCTGGGAAGATAAATTGTACAATGGCTCCGTACTGGGTAAAGCCCACTTCTACTCTCCAGGTAAAATACCCAGCCTTTGGTTACTGTTATGATCCGTTAGTAATTATTTTAAGTAAAGATCATACTGAGTATTTTAAGCAGCTGTCTCTTAAACTATATAGAAATTTTGATGTATTGGAAGATGGTAAAAACACAAATCATAGAAATGTAAATAATAGTATCTACACATTTTGTGTTTAAGCAATAGGAAGCTTAAAAACCAAAGCTGTCTTCTAGACACAAAATTCTTGATATTTTTTTTCTTACCTTCAGGAAATAAAATTTTGTGCACATTTTATTCTTAAATAGTTTCCCTTCCTAGTCAAAATTGTAATCTGTGTTTTGCTTCTGTGTATTTTTCTATCAATTTTTTAAACGAAAATGAAGTAAGATTATAATAATATAATCATACTCCCATAAAAAAGGCTAGTGCAGAAAATTGCTGGGTATTTAAAGGAATGCAGGATCACAACTAAATCACATTCCTGTGCTTTATGGGAATAACTAGTTGGATAAACTTATTCAAGAGGAAAGCACAAAACAATTGTTTACTCAAGAGCAAAATTTAAAGCAAACAACTTCAGGGCATCTGGTCAATTTAGACTGTGCAGGGTACTCTGCTGCTTTTTGAAACAGAGAATAGTATAACTCTTGGATCAGAATGACACTAAGCAAGCTCATATGATTCAGGAGGCTCCAAGCTCTGTCACTGTCAGCCATTCAATAAAGCTTTCTAAAGAAGTGAGGAGGTAAAAGAGCATTGTAAATGCAGAAAAAAAATCTATTTTCATGTGATAAAATGCAATCTTAGTGAGCAAGCCAGTGATCTCATGTTTATTTTTCGGTAAGAAATCTATATAGAGTGGGTTTGTCCACTGTGCAATATTAGTCCTTACTCAGTCTTACTGATTGGAACAGGATTCTTTCATTACATTTTTTATGTATAACAGATGCTTCAAAGTCATGCCCATTCTTAATAGTTTCCTGTTACTTGTTTACTTTTAATGTACTGTTCATGAGTTAAATGGTAAGGTTTTGTTTGTGCCTTTTCAGTGGCGAGATCACTGGATGCAGTGTGTGTATTTTCTTCCAAACGAGGAGCCAGTTTTCCAGGGTGAGAACGTGTACCTGACCGCCTATCGTGATGAGTATTCTGTATGGTATAAGCTCCAGAAAGCCAGGTAACTTTTGCTCCACCTAAAAGGAACTTAATTGTTTTGGTTGCAATGGCAATAGCAGCCCTGTTTTTAGAAATCAATGCCAGTTTTAAAAATGCATGCCTGAACTGCATATCCCTTCCTGTATCTAGGAATCCAAGCTTTTCTCTAAAATGACAAAGCCTAAAAAAACCATCAGAGTCAGTGGGAAAGGTGTTTTTTCTTATTATTTTCTTTCTTTTTTTCTTTCTGTTAGTGAAAATTGGCTCTTTTTCCTCTTTTTGTTTGCAAATGCAAAACTCAAAACTTAGATTGTAGAAAATTTGAATCAGTAACAGTGAAGTCCACATGCATGAATATGTGTCTTAGCTAAAATATATAAATTTACCCGCTTGAGGAAGACACATTAGTGATTCTGTAGCTAACACTTTTTTTTGTTTTCCAGAGAAGAAGAGAATAAAGCAGATGTTCATGTTGAGAGTCCTGTTTGTAGATGTCAGGCTCATCTTCTTTGGAATAGACCACGCTTTGGTGAATTAAATGACCAGAACAGAACATGCCAGTACATCAAGTCTTTGGTGAAAGTTAGTACATGTTGCCTCATGGTTTCTGTAGTATATGTTTTTGTCTTTTTATCTGCAGTAAATATTAAAGGATTCATTGCTGTCTTGCTAAGGAGTTTGTTCACAGAGTGCATTTTATGTAAAAACAGTTTTTAATGATCCTGGAGAAATTGGAACTTGTTTCCCTAAACACATAGTATATGTTTGTGTGAGTTCTTTGTGACTTACAGCAAGTATTATATGAACATTTCTGACATGATTTGAAACATTTTTATTAATAACATTCTTATGTTTACGTATTGGTGGAAAAAAAATACCATCAGAACACCTAGAATTTGAGAGCTTTTCCCTCCTAAATGGGAATAATGATGACTATTTATTTTCTATAGGTCCTGAAAACAGATAGCGTTTGCCTCTGCATCAGTGATGGCAGTCTGCTGCCTGTGTTGGCTCACTATCTTGGGGCAAAACAGGTATAGTACTTCTTGCTGTTTTTATCTAGTCTTAACATTTTAGCTTGGAATTTTCAGTTTTCTGTTACAATTCAGTATTCCAGTCCTTTATTTCATTTACTTCAAGTGGTTTTTTAATGACAGGTGAGAAAGAATCTCTCACTCTGTTTAAATGGGAAATGAAATCTATCCCTGGTCAAGCTGAAGTTTAGGAAGACATCGAAGTCAACAATTCTGGTGTTTAGTCTGTGCATTGCCAATCTGAAAAAATTTGGTGAAATGGAAAGGATATTCTGGTGTTTTGCTGAAATCTAAAACCAAATCTTTGGCAAAACAAGTTCCTTGGTTGATATAATTGCTTGACTTTCATCTGGCAGATGATAGATGATAGGCTAGCCAGGGAATTAGGTCACTTTGACAGAGATCTAGATTGCTTTTGAGATTGGCATTGTTTAGCCATGCTTTATCTGTGGTTTGGTTTTGATCTACAACACCTTGTTTTGGTGGCAGACTGATGACTGACTGCTGCATGTGCTTATATTTTTTCAAGGAATTGTTACAAACCCCTCTATGTTTTGATAAGCCTCTGTACGTTTAGTTTACATCATGAAATTCAGTGTGCCCACTTGAGGTTTAAAAGATCAAGTAGAATAAAGCACAAAGACTGTAAGTTCAGAAGGTTGGTGTCCTGCAGTCACATCTAAATGCTAGCATATACTAGCTCTCTTCAGCTAGCATAGTGAGGTCACGCTAAACCACACATACAGGGAGTAAGTGGGGCCATGCGGCCAATTTTAAGTTAATTTTTTCTTTTTTCCACCGAGTTGAAGTCAACGGTACTCTATTCAGCAGCTTCCAGATAGAAAGCACTTCTTCATAAAGCCTCCACTGTAACAGAATCTTTCTTGCTTCAGTAAAGAGTAAATCCCCCATGTTGTCAAAATGGAATTTTGAGTTCTGGGATGATGACGCTTTGGATTTAACAATGTTTTGCTGTAACAGTTTTCTGTATAGGAATATGTTTGTGTTTGCCCAGAGGCAGCAGTATGTCTATAGCAACTGTTAATATTCTGTGTGTGTGTCTTAAAAATGGAAAATAAGTAGTGGTGGTGTTTTGTTTTAACAGCTGTCAAAATAACATCATTAGGCCTGTACTTGTTAAGTAATTTGTTTTGTAAGAAAGACACAGCAAAGAATTGCAGAATAGATGGAAGATGTTTATGAGATAGCTATGTGCAATTTTCAGTTTACTGGGGCATGAAAATAGTTCCTTATTGTTCATTTATTAATCTTTTAATCAAAACCAATAATGTTCATTTGACTGACTATTGTGTGGCATTTCTTTTTAGGTGTTTACAGTAGAAAATTCTGCTGTGTCCCGTTCTGTTATGGGAAAAGTGAGTATTTAGTGTTCCGTTTAAGCAATAAATGAACTCTTGAGGTTCTCAGGGCCAAAACTGTTGACTTTTTTTTGTCTTTGTATCAACTGCTTAGAGGTTATATCAGATTAATGAATCATTAATCATACAGTCTGACTGTGGGAAGTATGTTTCACTGTTTATTTGATGCCCCAAGCATATACTGTGCTGCCCTTGTCATAGATAGATAGCAGCGATAGATAAAAGCCAAATTGTTGATTTTCGAGGATTAGTAGAATGTGGGAGCATTGTGTAGCTTGCACCACTGGCACCCTGTAGTTCGGTTTTCCTGGTGAGACAGAACATTGGGAATGCTCCTCTCCTGTTTGGTTCTCAGGAGGCTGCAGGCTGTGGGTCTTAACGGCAAGTGAGGTTTCCACTACCAGCTTAAGTTCTTTTTGGATAGTGGTTTCTTTATGGTCCATTTTGATTTAAAAGTACTATTTTGGTACAAGTTTTAATCTTTTGCAGCTTTTAACAAAGAAAGACTAAATTACTTCTTTTTTTGTTTTTAGTTCTTAAAAGCAAATGATCTTGAGGATAAAATTAAAATACTAGAAGCACGTCCTGAATCACTGACATCCTCTGATTTGGAAGATAAAAAAGTATGTAACAGTTGTTCAGTACTGAATTTGGAGGAGAAAGGGGATGGAGAAGGTGAAAACAAATTTTGCTTTCCTATGAGTTACCATAACTACAATTAATCCCATTATATCTCAGTTCATATAAAGTGTAATGAGCAGGCGTTTCAGATTTTGTCCTACTGAAACTAAGTGATATTTATTTTATATGTTATTTATTTATTTATTAGTAGTTAGATCCTTGGAGAGTTGCAGGAGTTCTCATCTAGTCAGTTTTGCTTGCTTTATTGCATTGTCAACAACTGAAAATATAACCAGCCTGTGTTGTTGTTTAGGCTGCTGTTCTTTTTTTATAATTCTCTTTATCTCCCTCTTCTTTCTGACAAGATTTCAGTTCTTCTTGGAGAGCCATTTTTTACTACAAGCCTGTTGCCATGGCATAATCTGTATTTCTGGTATGCTAGGACAGCTGTGACCATGCATCTTGCCAACGATGTCACTGTCCTGCCTCAGTCTGCTTCTTTGCACGTGATGATTGTGGAGTTTCAGGTGAGATTGTTTATAACCATGCATTTCAAATGAAATCACTTACAAGTGAGTACTCTTTCAGTATTTCTTTGTAATTTCAAATTCCTTTCTCTTAATATTACCCTCTTTGATATGTAGTTAGCAGACTTTAAATTCTTTGTATGACCCCAAGGGAAATGGACGCATTTTACTTTTTAGGGTTAGTAATAATCTAAAAGAGGTCTTATTTTCCAAAGGTTAAGCTGCAAGTGTCTTAGGATGAGCATATGCAATCATTGATCACTTTAAAATGTAAGCTGTAGTGAGTACAAGTTATCTAGTTGCTCTCTATCACTGGTGTACTTGCCTTTTTCCTTAGGCATTGCTGTTAGCTGCTTTTAGATATAGCATATAGTAGTAGTATTGTTCAAACTTAGAAAGACTCTTCTTGCATAGCACTCTCTTTGTCTATAGCTCTCTAATACTAAAGATAATAGCAGAGCTGGCTACAGCCAGGATACATGCATTTGTGGGTTTGGTGTTTTATTTTTTATCCCCAGGCTGTTTTATGAGCTTTCTAAGAGATGATGAAAAGCAACAGTGACAATTTTGCATTTACAGTAAAAAAGGGTAACAGAGTAAATGGTTTTCCTGCTTGGCATTTCCTGAATACCCCTTCCAGCAATGCCATTCAACAATGTTGTAGGAAATTGCACTGAATTGCTAAGAAAGGTGGAATGCTTAAATTACTTTACTTAAAGACTATTGGGTAAACCATAGGGAGATTCTGTATAGTGTCTCTAGTCCATGATATATTCAGAGATGAGGGTATAACAGCACTTATTTAAGTTTATAGTATTCTTGATGACTTCTTGTAAAGTAGAAATCCAGTGAGCAAATCCCAGTACAAGCAGAAATGTTTGAGATTTCTCAGCACAAAAATGAACAGGCAATAAAATAGGTGTAGCTGAAATTAGTGATTGTTCTCATTCCATTAGAGACCATTGCCATCTTTTGAGCTAAATTAGTGTCAGTCCAGTGATTGCTAAGCTATGTCAAAAGCATAGTAATAGATTGTTCTCATTCCATTAGAGACCATTATTGCCATCTTTTGAGCTAAATTACTGTCAGTCCAGTGATTGCTAAGCTCTGTCAAAAGCATAGTAATGGTCTGTAAGAGTGTATTGCCTTCAGTCTGTCTGGTGGTTGCCCTTTTCCTGGCTCTAGCTAATCTCTTAACATATTTTCCCATTAAATACAAAGGAAATATTCTGTGGGGAAATATTTTTCTCAACAGAGCCGTTTCTCTAAATAGCTTTTTTTTAATGATTGCATGGACGTGACTATTACAGTAAGAATTCAGATCTCACAATGGGGAAAAAGTGTTGATTTTTAGAACAGGCCTGACATTTGGAACATTTCTCTTTCTCTGAAGGTGGATCCAATATGTAATGCTTGTGTTGCTTCTTCACGAGTCTACTAGCTGTATATTTTGTGAGAAGAATGATGTTTTTGTCATTTGAGAAAAAAGGTCAGGTGAACTTATCTAGACCAATTCACTTAGCAAAGACTAGAAAAAAAATCTCTCAAGTTTGTGAGAACATTAGATGCTACTAATCAGGTCTGAATTCTATTCTGTATTTGAAAGATGCAATGTGATATGTCCTGTTATGTAGCATCTAATTGGTTGACTTAGTGTGGGAAAGGCATAAGTATTTTTTTTCCTATTTTTTTTTAAAAGTTGGTGCATGCACTTTACTGGTAACAGTTTTAATTCATAACTGAAAACTTTTCCTTTAAAAAAAACCAAAACCCTGTTTTCTTCTAAGGATTTGTGGAGAATCCGGAGTCCATGTGGCACCTGTGAGGGTTTTGATGTCCGCACTATGGATGATATGATTAAAGTAAGAACACTCAAAATAATTTTAACACAAGTTTCAGCAAAACAGAATAAAACTCACTTTGGCTTGAAAAAGTATCTATGAACACTTCAGTGTTCATATTTTACATTAAAAAAAGGCATGGTTTTACTTCTACCTAAACACAATGGCTGTTTAATTTTTACAAAATAGAATGACTTCTTTGGTATGGTGTGTGGTTTTATGTTTCTTGTCATTTGACAAACTGTTCAGCACTGCACTGAAAATACTTGCATTAATTCAACAAGGGAGGTAAGAAACCTTGTTCTCAAAACTTTATTTGGAGATTGATATTAAATCAGCTGGTAGTTGTTCATCAATGAATTCTCTTGCCCTTAAGTTAGTGTTTAGAGTTCTTTAAATGCCTTTAGGTTAGTGCTTTAAAGGGAAGAAGGCTTTTTGGCTTTCAAGAAATAGATATGAAGGGTGAGATTTCTGTCAAAACTTCTAGAGCTGTAGTGCATCTCCGTTATCTGAACTGGCCTTTTAAGTTGCCTTTATAGTCCTCATGGAGAAGTATAGGCAGTTCTGGAGTAGAATTTGTCGTGAGGGGGACAAAAAGAAATTGTATGCGTTGTGTTTTTAAAGTACCTATTTCTGCCTGTTTGACCACTTTGGACCATGCTGCTAATAATTCATGCTTCTAGTAGATGTTTTTTGTCATACACAGTCATAAACGTTCAGAGTCTAGGTCAGTGAGTAACTTAAAAACAAGGACTGTTAGCCTTTGGACAGTTTTTACATAATTTTATTACTATCTTTTCTTCAGAATTCTCTGAATTTTAGAGAGTCCAAGGAAGCAGAACCTCACCCTTTGTGGGAATATCCTTGCAAATCCCTCTCAGACCCCCAAGAAGTTTTGACATTTGACTTCAGAAGGGCAGTACCAGAGCACGGTCTCAGCTCAGAAGGTTCTTTGAACCTTTTACGGTGAGTTTTCTGTTCATGGCAAGTATTCACAACATAGTGACAAATCTTTTTTATTATTTTTTTTAAACCTCACATTCCATTTCTGTGTACTGTGCTTAATTAGTAGAATCGCCTTTAACACTATCAAAAAATGTTACCTAAAATTATGGAAGCTGCTGTGACACTGACTTTCTGTGTCTTCCTTTGGATTCACCCTGTCTACCTTCCTAGATAGCTCACAGGCAGCTGTATAGTATTAAGGGTGAGATGTCTGTATTTGAAAAAATAACTTTTTATTAGATTGTTATCCTCATTTAGAATATAAAGAGATTAACTTACATTCCAGAGAGAACAAACCTGTGTGTGGATGACTTTAGTCTTTCAGTTTATTCCCTATTTTCTGAGTTCTTGCAGAAACAGCTCCTATTTAACCTTCCAAATTCCATTTAATAGCGTTAAAGTATACAGTATCCTTCCCTTTAACTATAACTAGCTTTTGATATTTGTCATATGTCTTCAGAGATATTTTTCACTATTATCTAAGGTACAGACTCTAGTTTATTCTGTGTAAAAATGAAATGCTGTTAGAAAAATTTAAAAAAAATAGGGGAATTTGCATTTAACTTTTTCTAGAGCTTACACAATCTAAACACTGCTTTAGTTATGCTGTGCCTGTTTGTGACATCAAATTCATGTCCCTAAATCCCTTTAAGTATTTGTGTGCTCCAGATTATTTTTTTGGGTAAAATTCTTGGGAGAACCCAGAACCTTCTGCATGGGATCTCTGTGTGTTGGAACCAGTTGTTTTTACAGGCATCATGTTAGCATGACTTCTGCTTCTTATGGAGCAGGAATTGGTGAAGTAAGATGGGTTACATAGTAAACATCAGATCCACAATCCCAAATCTAGAAATAGTGGAAGCTGGGGTACCCGAAGGAAATACTTCCCAGATAGGCTATATGATTTCTTCCATTTTATCTTAAATGCTTGTTAAATGACTACAGATCCTAGCAGAATTAGTTAGGTCTTAGTTTGTTTGCTCTTCTCTTTCTCAGATTTCAGATCTGCACATGCTAAAAAACTTGCTAACCACTGACAGATTTATTCAACTGCTCGACTTAACCAAATGAAGTACTTAGGCATTTCTAAACCTCATGAGAAATAGGCGCAGTATGAAGTTAATGCTAAGATGATATTTAATTTTTGGCTCCGGTCTCTTCTTTCTCCAGGAAGGGCAAGAGCCATGGAGCAGTTCTGTGGATGGAATATCATCTTACTGCTGATACCTCTGTTAACACAGGGCTGACACAGATTTCAAATGACAAGGTATTTATTCAATCTGTGGTTTATTACTCTTGTAAAGTCTACAGTATTACAATGCTGAAAAATATATCTTGCTTGCCCTGTTGCCTTAGTTTGTGTAGTGCTACTTGTTACTCTGAGTATTATGTAGACAGTATTAGTAGAATTGTCTCTTCACCCTTTTTGTGCTAGCAGGAGATAGACCTTAAAGCAGAGAATCTGAGTCAGATTCAGATGCTTCTGCAGTTTGGAACCACACTCAAAACATCGATAGGGTGCTAGTTTGAAGTAGCATTTATTCATGCGCCTGCCTTTCCTCAGTTAAACAAAAGCAAAAACTGTGAGAGGAAGGAGCCCTGAATATTTTCTCTATTCCATTTAAATATGCCAATCCATTTTCTCAACATCACTGTGCAGTATAATATACCGGATTTAAGTAAATTTGTTCTGGATTTAAATGTTAGGCATTCGTGTAATGAAAGTATGCCAGTGAAAGTGAGAACATTATCTGATCTTTCTACACTGAATTGTGGGCAAGAACTGTCATGTTCTTGCTGCGTTACCACTGTCCAGTACTGCGGAGTTGTGACTACTTTCCCTTCTAACTCTCTCCTGTAGTGTAGGGAAACTGTGAATGGAATCCCCACTGCAAGCAAGCCGTCTATTTCTTCAGTTCTGTTATTGACTCAGAAACTCAAACAGAGCTGCCTAGTGCTGTCGAGTATGCTATGAATTTCAACCCAAAGACAGGAGAAATTACCATGGATTTTAAGCTATTATAGAATACTTGCCTTTTACTCATGTTCCTAAATTATAATAAACATACGTGGTATTCTTTGTATGGCAGAGGGTTTTTTATATCCTACTTAGAGAGCAATCACTCTGAAAAATATTTTAAACCTATTTGGTTTTCCTTTTAAAATATATAGCTGGGGAAATATAGAAAATTTTCTTTTTGAGAATATTTATAATGGATGGGATTACATGTGTATGTTTATTATCTTCTGTATTAGTGTGAAACTATACTGTATTTTTGAGGCTTTGAATTATACGGAGACATGAAGCAGTCAACTGATGGGGTGTTGCATGGCCAGCTCTACTTTGTTGGTGAGTAGGAATTTTTCCTCCTCTTCTTCCTGAAAGTATGATGATTATTATACACTCAACCAACAATCATCAAAATATTTCCAAATGTTTCTAGCCTAAGAAATACAGCACATTATGATAGCATATTACAGTCCATACATGAGATCCAGTACATGAGATCCAGTACATAACTACTATTTCTTTAATGGAGCATAAGAGATGCTTGCCCCAAAGATGTAGGCTTCATACATGTATTGAAAATAACAATAAATTACAGTTTTTCTGTTCACATTTATCTACTGCAGTTTTGCAGCAAAAAACAACTTTTCTGTTGCCCTGAATTGTGATGAAAGTTTTACTAATGCTTGGTAGTGGTTAGCTATCACACCACTGATCCACAAGAGGGTGCTGAGAATCCATTTTTTTAAATATTTTTTTTCAAGCCGTGGATTAGCAATAATCTTCTGATAAGAAGTGCATAGTGGTTCAGACTTGTAGTGCAGCTGGCTTATCTAACGTGCAAAGACAGTGCTTGATCTTTTAAGATACAACATATTCATATGGCTTGAACTTGAAAACTAGCTCAGAAACACAGTGACAACTGCTAGTAAGACTAAATGAGACTTGCACATACAATCAAAAAATGGGCAAAGAAGTGTTGTGTGTTCATTATGCATAATGGATAACTCTAGGACAGTGACATTGTCTTGCCAGCTGCTTAGTCCTAATGAAGGTCTTGCACTGAATTCATAGATTTGTTTCATTTTGTTTTGAAGTCATGGTATCTGCAAGATTTGCTCCTCTGCTACCTCATTTCTGTCTGAAGGCTGGAGATTCGAGGCTTTTTGAGATCCAAGAGCTTGCTTTTCTTCTTCATTAGCCCCTTTGAAACTGCACTGTGCAGGCTTCCTGCATTTAACAGGGTAGAGAATTAAGTTCGGGATCAAACTGTTTAGTCACTCTCGTATTTTCATTGAAATTACAGCTGGTTGCTATGAGGAGAACAGGCTTTTACAGCCTTGCTCCTTACGGTTAGCTCTTTCTGGCGAGGACTGAGAGCTGAATACAGTGGGTCCTTGGGTCATCCTACCTCATTGACCTGAGTGGCGTTGCAGACTGTTAGTTTGATTTGTTGCTTAATCAATTGTTTACAAACATCTCATTTTCAAGCATTTAATAAGAAGTAATGATTAAGATGGTCTTGAAGACAGAGGTATGTGTTATTATCCCCATTTTTCTCATGAGTGAAAGCTGAGAGCAGTCTGTGCTCTGCTGAAGTGTCTCATCTGTGCTGAGCTCTCACTGCAAGATTAGGGCCTCCGAGCTAGAAAGGACTTGCTCAAGGCTGCGCAGAACGAACTAATCCCCTGATTCTCTTTGGCACTGCTTTAATCGTTTGTTTCCTTGGTGCAGCGTGATCTCGAATGCAGCCTGATGAGGTTCGACTGAGACACGGCAGATAAAGGCTTGGGAGCAGCAAAAACTTGGATCCTTCAGGAATGAAATCTATGTTAAATTGATGCTTGCTGTTGGTTTCATATCACATGTGTCCAGGGGATCTACTTTAAAACTGTTGGTAGTAGCAGTGGGGGCATATTTTTTATAATACCATCAGCAAAGCGAAGGTACAAGCGAAAATTGTTGTCTTTGGAAAAAAAATCGCATGGCAGTGGGGTGGAAATGACCTGTTTGAAATTGTCCTTGATCTCCAAGGCAAGACGGGGGTGGGCTGAGGCGGCGGGGGTGGAGGACAAGGGGAGAAAGTTAGAAAGTGGGGAGGACCCCAAACAAACCATAGCTGAGATGGGAATGTGTTTGGGGAAGAGGGCTTGAATCTTGAATGTTGACCCTAAACCTAATCAGCAAAAGAGAGTACATTCTGTTTTCGTATTGTTTACTGGCTTTGAACTTCTGTATTGCTTGGACATCACCCATAACCTTGAGGTGAAGGACTTACTGACTTTGGGCCTTTGTTGACAACCGCCACCCAGTCAGACAACGTCTAGTCAAAGGAAATGTTGGAAAAAAGGGGGAAAATAAAAAAAAAAAAAAAGAGGGGGGGGGCGGGGGGGAAAAGGCAAGTGCCACACGTGGGCAATAAGTTGGCACAAAAAAATGAAAAATTTCCACCTTAGAACTTACTTGAGGTTTTGCCCAGTGTGTGTTGGCATGCAGGAACTGTGTCCCAAGTAGTGAATAAACTCAGAGCAAGGCAGTGGCTTCAGCGTGCTTAAAAGTCTTGACCTGGGAGGTCCCAGGACAGAGGTTTATTCCCAAACAGCAGAGGCTATATGAGAGGTATATTAAGGAGAACTCCTAAGCAATATCAGTTATGGGGATAAAGAGCTTCTAAATGCTGCAGTCATCTTAAAACAGGCATGAACGCAGGCATGAATGCTAAAGCCATGAGCTGTGGTGATTTCAAGGCCTGATGGAAAAGCAAACCAGGAAGCTTCGCAGAATTTGGCGGGACCTTGCACTTCTCTTGAGCAAAGGCATTTCTGGCTGTAAAATTTGTCTGCTAAAGCTTATGTTGCTGGAAGTGTGCCATGCTAGGAAAAAAAATACAAAACTTTATCAGAAGGTACTGGCAGGGCATTGGAGAACATGGTAAGATCACAACAGAGTGAGTATGTTATGTCACGCAGCCTCCAGTGTCATTAGAAAAAGCTAACCCGTAGTCTCTAGGCTTAATGTGCTGAAGGATGAAGATCTCAGTAGAGGAAGCATTTTAATACATTACGGTTTTGTGTTGAAAGCTGTGTTAATATATTGTGTTGCAAAAACTCCTCCCGGCTATTTTCTGGAAGGGACATTTAACAGTTGTGGTTTTGGGACTAACTGCAAACGTTCTAGAGTTTGGGCTTTTAGATTTGCTTTCTGTTAAAAGTTCTTCCGTTCTGTTTCTTTATGTGAACCAAGTTTATCTCTGCAGGACACAGCAAATGGAAAGCTCTATAGATAACATACAGTGACATCTGCTTGTTTCTGTGATAGATAAGGGATGATTCTAACTGTAGTATGACAGTTCTTAGTCTCTGTCATTCCTCTTTACACATCAGGGCTTATTACATGTCTCTGTTGTGTATGAAACTATTAAGGAAGTTGCACCTTTCTTCTTACTTTCATGCATTACTTTATTATTTTTTCCCCTTTTCCTTCTGCCTAAGGCATGCCTAGCATTCAACAAAAAACAGCATTCTCATCTAATTTGCACAAGCAGGGTAAGTAAATTGTTAGCTTCTGTGTTAAATGATATGTTTTCATTCTCCCGTCTATTTGCTTGGCACCTAGGCAGCAACGTACATCAAAAGAGCTTCCAAAAAAGGAACAAGGTGGAGAAAAGTCTAGGAAAGAGCTTTGTGTCCCATATATGAGGGCATTCAGTGTATATTGACAAAACAATTTCTCTGGGCTTTACTTCCATGCCTGTCACAGACAGGAAGCTCTTCAAGGTCAGTCTTCTATTATATACCTATGCTATGCTTGCACTGTCAGGCTGTGATTTTTATTTGAAGTTTATACATGTTGTGAATGAAATAGCAGGGTGGTTGTGTACACAGCATTTCAAAAGCCTTCAAAAGGGCACAAGTACCTTGCATCACTGAAGCAGTTGATCCCTAGAATGGTTTAGTGTCAGGGTTGTGGAAAGCTGAACTCCTCTAGTTACAGGATATAGAAATGCTAATGTACAAAGGCAGATTCCAGCACATTTCTTGTTCTGCAGTGGAAGTCATTGTTTAGCAACAGGAGTTTTGCGATAAGGATGTGGCATGACCCTTTTAAGTCTTCTTTGAAGTCTCCCTCTATGGGAGAATATGTCTCCTTTTAGAATGGTACTGTTTTTGTGTTTGTCATCGTGCCAGTCAGACAAGCCTGGTAGTCTGCCCAAATAAATACAGGTATTTCTCGGAGGAGATCAGCTGTTGTGGTCTTTGCAGTATCATATATCCACTGCCAGGTTCTTGCCACTTTCCTGGATGCTGCTGCCTATAACACTTTGTTTAGGGGGAGAATATTTTGCCTTCTTTTCTGCTTCTAGTTGGGATCTAGATATACTGCTCTGTTCTTTCCCTCCTTTTGATAGTTGAGGTCTAGGGCTCCTTTTCTGAGGCAGTCCCTTTTTGCATTCCCTGAGTTGACTGGGTAACAGCTAATCAAATAACTCAATTTAAAATAAGATTTAATAAAAAAAAAGCATCTGTAAAAGTCAAGAGAAGCTTGGTATAAACGTGCTGCTCGGAAACTAGTCAGCAATGTACAGGCCATGGAATCTTTTCAAAATAACTAAGGACTATTTTATGTATATTGTTTGGTTCAGTTTTAGATGCTGTCATATATTTATAGTACATCTGCAAATATAGTGTACCCCATGCTTCCGTTTCTCTCTCTCCCTTCTCCCCTCATGCTGGATGGGAGCTTTAAGTGCAGTCTTCTTACGCAGAGCCATAGCAGGGAACTACTCGTACTTACGAGCTGCTGCTAGTAATAGCCCATTCTGTCCATATTTAAACCTGAATAATGAGTGTTCATTTGTTTGGGATCTTCAGTTTGTTCTGTTAAAAGAAAAATAAAATAATCATTACCCAGGACTAATCTGCTGCTCTCTTATCCTAAACCTAGGACTGGGTGGGACCTTCTAGGGTTCCCTGGCCAAACCCTTCCTGTAGTAGGCCTAATGCATATAATTTCTTTTAAATAAATATATCAAACTCTGTTTTAAAGCCTTTTTTTTTTTTTTTTTTTTTTTTTTGCATTCC